ACTCAATGAATAAGGATTTATTGTTGATGAATATATTCTAATAAAGAGTATTTAGGACATGTGTATGAAATTATGTAGTTTAAATGTATCCATATTGAGGTTAAGAAGGTCCTTAAAAAAAAAAGACAAGAAAAGAGGAAAGGATGGAGATGAGAGAAGAAGGAGGGGGGAAAAGAGACAAGGTTGCACGTTCTTGTTTTGTATCTCCTTGTTTATTTTATTTCTTGAATTATATTAATAAAGATATAGGATCTAGGTCAAAAATTATAAAATTAAGCTTGAGCTCTTCCAATAACTTGATTTGAACTTTGTCAGGGAATTCTTAAATTTGACACTTTGGATTAATTGTAAAATTGGAGCTCAATGTATTAATTTGATATTGGATTAGATTTATGAAAAAATAAAAAAAAATAAATATAAATTTTTAATAGTCTCTATTATAATTTTATATTTAGTATTATCTTTGTAGTTATTTGTTTATAGAAATTGATCTTATATTTGAAATCTGATGTATATATGAGATGGAAGGATCTATATTGTTGGAGTATAGAAAATGTTGATATTGAGAAGTCTAGTTGTATATAAGTTTATATTCTTTTGAACTTGGTTTGGTGATTATGTAATTGAAAATTAAAAACTCTTATTTTTTTTAGGCTAAAAGATTGGATGTAATTGTTGTAGACATCATATTCATCCAAATTGATTGATGTATTAAGTAGGTTGTATTAACAAGTAAAAATAATAGAGTTATTGAGGAAAAGTAAGATAATTGTTGAATTAGAGATACTTATAGCTTTAAAGGTTCATATATTACAATGGTCTTGAATAAATAGTAATAAAATATTACCAATATAAATCATTAATTTAATTTAGCAAACCTTGTTATGAATAGATTATAGATGTTGTAAGTAATAGATTTTTTTTTTTTTTTTTTTTTTTTTTTTCTTTTTAGAACCTTCAAGTAGTTACGTTGATTCTCAAAATTCAATCAATTAACAAAACATCACATTTTTAGAAGCCATATCTGAAAGAGTGTTAATCTTTTTGCCAAATTATAAATTTTATAAAACACAAAATCAAGCTAACAATCATCTTTTCAAATTTCAACTTGAGAATTTTAGCAACAAGAAAAAAATTGCATTTCAAATGAATTTAGGTCTATTAACTTAATTTAATAATATACATCTACTTGTACATTAATAATTTTTCTAACCTCTTTTAAAAGATAAAACAACATAGATACAATTGAATATGCTATAATAAAACTTTTGACATTATTTATGAGTAATGGAATTGAAAGATGCTTGCATATGCTCCCACAATTGAAGCAGTTATTTAGTTGGTGCTAGGTATTCATTTAATTTTTTTTTCACAAGTGTACACACATGCTCAATTGAATTTAGGTAAGATGATTGAGGAAGTTAAGTAAATACATCCAAATTTTGCATTAACAACCATTGCTTGATTGATTTTGTATTTTATTTAAGATCATTATCATGTTGAAATATGACACAAAAATGATTGAAATAATACCATTTATTTTTTTATTATTTTAAGCTCATCTTAAAAAATGCTAAGATATAAATTTTATTTCATCTTCACTTCTATCTTGTATATATAATCTACACCACAAAAGGTCATATAATTCTATGTAAAAATTATACGACCTCCATATTTAGTTATTTGACTCACATGATAAGCTTGTGATTGAGAATTTTTGTCATTTATCCAATACCAAGCAAGATCATCAAATTAAAATTGATTGATTTTAATTTCATTTCTAAAAATTACTTTGTTCCAACATAGATAGTCCAATCTTGATGAAGTTGAGCAAATTCCAACCTAAAAATATATATTCTTAGCTATGAGCATTAACTTCTTTTGGTTCTCTAATGATCCAAAATTTGATTCATGAAGTACATGCCTCATTATGTTGGTACTCACTACCACATTCAAATGCTCACTTAAAGCATTTTCACATCTACAATACTATCAAATCCATCAATTATAGTGGCTCAACTTATTGCCTTTACAATTATAAGAGAAAATATCCTAAGAGACCACAATATTAACCAAAAGTGAGAAAAAAAATCCTACGCAATACCATGAACTTATTCTTACTATTAATTGTGATTGATGATAACAATTCTAAAATTGAGTCAATAGACCTAAGTTCATTCAAAATGCAATTTTTATCTTATTTCTTCTATATTTAAGCAAAAATTTGGAAGGATGATAGCTTTGTTGTGTATCTTATTCAATTTGTAATTTGATAAAAAGATCAATATTTTTACAGAGATGACTTTCCAAAATTTAATGTTTTGCTACTTGATTGAATTTTGAGGGTTAATTTATAATCTATGAATAAAATTTTGTCTCAATAATAATAAAAAAATCTTCTATTCTTTCTAAAGACTTAAAACAATGTAAAATTTTGGACTTATATTCACAAAATTATTATTAACTTTATCATTCTTGCATTATATAAGTTTTGTATTTAGACTATATAATTCAGTTATTGTACTTTTTTGGCTACTTCAAGATTATTGGTCTTGATTATAAAATATTCTTTGCCTTAAAATAAGCTTTCTTTAATTAATATTTTGTTGTAATTTGTAAGTATCCAAACTATTGTATAAAAGTCCAATTTATGGATTTTTCTCATAAATGTTTTGCTATATTTTAAAAATTATTCTAAATACTTGATTTCTTGTTTGAAAATTTTATCAACTTTCTAAAGGCAATTATTATTGTGTAATAATAAAAATTATTTAAAAAATAAAATGCTATGTGGTAGGATTCTATTGGCTCTTTTGTTGAAGGGAATCATGTTGTAGTGTCAAGGACATGAATCTCGAAGAAAGAAAATCCTCAATACAGTCTTCTATCATTGAAGAGAACTAGAAAGTCACTCAAAAGATGATGTAATATTAATTAGAATGGCTATTGCCAAAAACAAAAAGACTAGAAAGACTTAAAGAAGACTAAGACTAGAAAGGCATTGACAAGAGTGAAGAAGGCTTCACTCTTGCCTCCATATATACTATCTAACTAAGAGCTATGTGGCGATGTCCTATAGGACCTCCAACATGTTTTGACTTTGCTAGCCTCATGTCTTATCTTGCAAGGCAAGTTATCTATGTATGCGCCATGTAGTTGGTTTGTTCCACACTACACGGAGATAACTTGTTCTATAAGCTATCAATACATGATTAGCTTTTTGGCCAAGTTTCTAACCTACAAACACATTTAAAGTCAAAATTGCATCTATGAAGCTTCTAGGAAGCTTTTCTAGAAGACTTTATGAAATTATTCTATATTTACCTACTTCTACTTAATCATATAAGTAACTATTGAGGTAAATGTATATGTCCATGACATGTGGTTATTATGCATGAGATTATTTTTAAAGTTATCATCTTCTTTAACTCTCTTATAGAAAAATTTGCCTTATAATATGTTTTTAAATTTGCCATTAATTTATTATCTTTAGAATCAACAACTAAAATTTAGATAATTTCTACATTTGACATCATAATGACATATGATGTATTTTGAATACTTAGATTATTTTGTGTATTAGGTCTCTACTTTTGCTAGGTAATGTGAGAAGATGTAACTTGAGTCTTGGAAAAATCTTCATGCTAAAAATCATAATCTCTATTAGAATTAAAACTATTCATTTTTTAAGTGTTTCAAAACTTTAATTATTAAATATAATAAGTTACCAACTATTAATTAGAAGCATATTGCACAAAATGTAAAAACATAGTGAGATTGTGATAAAATCCTAATTCACAATGGTAGTAGATATTAAGGCACCATCACTCACATCTGAACTCTTCTTGTCTTGATATTGCTACCTTCATAAGTGTAGTATCCATATGCACAATATTTTAACTACAAATAGATTAATTTTTATATTTTAAACAATAAATGTCACCGAGATGTTATTTATGCATATTTTTTAACTAATACCTTCTAATGCTCAATTTTCATTGTCTTTTTGTAGGTACAAAATTCAAACATGGTTATTATATTATATCTTGATATTTATGAGATGTTTATGTTGTTAGAAGGTACCAAGCAATATACTCAGCCACTCCTATTGAGTTGCTTATCATTTAAGTGTGACCTTTTCAACTGGGTACTGAAAAGACCAACATGGATTGTTCATGAATCCATCAACAATCTCATACCATGCTCCTACACAAACTTTCTACTCGACTCACATGTTAGAAATGAGCACCCTGAACTTAAAGTATATGAAATCAACGCTGGAACCTTCGAGAACACTGATGCATCCTTAAGTACAGTTTACTGTTTTCACTTTGATGAATTCATGAAGAATTGCAACATCAGATCACTGCACTGGAAGTTGCCTTTCATGTGGCATTTAAATGTCTGTAGTATAAAATCCTCGTCAGTAGCATGCACTTCTACCAAAACCTGAACCTTAATGTTTCGGGAAAATTCTTCATCATATCGAATAAGCAATCAGTTTGTTCAAGGGTTTCAGATGCTTTTGAGGTAGTAAGTTCCGACTGATACCCTCCAATTGAACGTGAAAAAATGGCATTTGAGAATGTGTTTCCTTCTTGTGTAAAACGATTTTTTCTTGTTCGATTTCATGATCAATGTGCAAACTTCGATTTCAAATCTGACAGTGTGGAAGACCTGCAGGAAACTAATCCGAAAAGCTTTCATCAATTGACTGTGTCACATATTATTAGATAGTAATGAGAAACCACCAGGTTCAGTCTTATTCATCGTGAAGTGTCGAAGACTGTAGAATCACTTGCAAACGATTTGTAAATAAATCGCCAGAAGAAGAATCACCTACTAGAGTAGCACACATGATGCACATTCGGTGCAGAATCATGCATTTTCGAAGCATTTTCTCATTTCCTTCACAAGTTCAGATGTGGACAGCACCGGAAAACGTCATGGGTTGCACACTGAGTGCTTGCACATCGAAACAGGAAGAGCATCACGCCACGAAACCGAATTTACAATCTTGCTCTGAGGAATATGTACATCAGGATCATACATGGCTTTATTCAGTGGCAGCAACCAATATGGTCTCCGCGCCGGAGAGTTGTCTATCTGGACAGTCGGATCAATCGGACCAAAAAGCTTCCAAGGATGCAAAGATCTGTGTCGGAGCAACATGATGCGTCTCGTAAGGATAGCTCTGGGTTTACAATCTCCATGATTCGTCGATTGAATCATGGGTGGTGCTTGACTTGGAAGTGAGTTCTTGTGACTCGATTGAATTGATCCTAAGCGTGAGCAGTCAATGCTACGGATCTACACTACGCTTTTTCCGTGAACAGGCAATTCCTTTTCTCAACTAATCAGCGGGTGTTGTGTGCGCTAGAGGCTAATTCAAAGATGCCACTACCTCTCAATTCTCAGCAAACGATGTCAGACCAGTTACTTACAGCTCTCATCTCAACTCTCTGTCTCTGCCGATACAAGCTTTTGAACACTTCATGCCGAAGCTTGACCAGTTTGGTGGAACTTGATCACTTGGGTCCCCTAACCTACAAACTCTCCGAATCGGGTGGCTCTCCACTCACCTGTCTAAGACAACCGCGAATTGGATTTCTCGAGGTGGTTCGTGAGGTTTGGCGCAGTACATCTGGCTCTCATGAAAGCGTTCCGTCATGTCAGACACATAATTCCGGGGGGGTTTGGTCTCAAGCATCACTTGTGTGGCTTGGACCCTAGCAGCCGCAGCCTTAGCTTTCTTCTGAATCTCGACGTGTTCCTCCTCAGGGGTTAGATTCTCCGGTAGAGGCTCGAGGATGGATGGAGAGTCTTCGAAATTGTAGTTAATGGGCTTCTTCGTGTAGAAGATGCCCGCATCGAAGGCGCGCGCGGCTTCCTCAGCTGTCTTGTACGTTCCTAGCCAGATCTTGCGCTTGCGAGGCTGGGCGGGACGAATCTCTGAGATGTACCGACCCAATTCTGGACGATATCTGATTCCCTTATATTTGGGAATGCAAACGGCGTGCAAGTGTGTCGACAGAGACGGCAATGGTGAGTTACACACAATGCTGTGCCCTCCGCCATGCCCTCCTGCACCCGAATGTATGCTCGACTGCATTACCTGCATTTCCCCATGCATTTTCTCTTACCAATCAAAAACTTCTATTGATCTCAAAGGATTCAAAATTACAACCTAAATCAGGCACTCCGCAATTCGCACGCTAAGACCAACCTGAGCCACAATAACCGAGAAAATCCTTCACCAAATACGTAGTGGTTACTGCGGATGCAAGCAGAAGCCAAGATGAACTGAAGCCAATGACGAAAAAGGATATTTCTGACGTTCTCAACGTGTGAAACACTTCTCTTTATAGCAACAACCAACACCCACTTGCAGTCTCATCCGACAGATTAGGTGCTTCCTGATCAAGACGCCCCTGTTATCACTGTACAGACGGAGAACATCGCCGTTATTTCCAAATATTTTTCTCTCCAGGAAGGGGGAGAGGCAACATTCAGCAGTTTTCCTCGAGTTTGTCAATTTACCGACAATCTGCATCGTCCTTGAAGCACGTCACGCCACATATGACGGGTTCTGTAACTTTTTAGCAGGGATTGGGCAATGAGTGGGGCAATCGGCCACGCCAATTTTGGTTTGGGTATTTTGAGGTGGTCCGTTGGAGGTGTTTTCAGTTTACACAACCTCTACGTTACCTTCGCAACGAGCGGCGAGAGACAGCAGTTAGTGTTGAACATTTCATTAGTGGTAGTGAATAGATATTGTCATATATACTTCAATTTACGTAGATTTTGCCAACTTCTTCGATGGCCTCATGTGCCAAGTTATTGTGTATTTACAACTTGGCTCACTGTTCTACGCAGACACATCAATCCATAAGTTGGGACTTGAATTCCTCAACTGTGATGTGGAGTTTGGCAATGCTTGTGGAAAGAGCCCCATTACCTTAAACGGTATCTACTTGTAACTTGACATCAACGTACTGAAATATGAAATTTGAAATTTTGAGGACTAGAAGCCCAGTTCAATTTCAGAAAAAACACTGAAACCTATTCCAGGATCAAGGGCTAACTGGAAAATGATGAGTCTGAACCAGTTGAAAGGAGGGTGTTCGCATATCAAAGCCTAAACCTGGACTAAACCTCATCGGAATGTGGGGGATCATGCGTGTTAATGTGTGGGATTTTCCACTGCATCTGGCCGCCGGTTGTAATTATTTAAGGGCCACACTTTGCATGCTGCGGGACTTAGGGTAATAGTACATTTTCATATGGTAGACGCCAAAATCGTCTGGTAAGACGTGGTGTGCCGACTTTCACCGACGGTGAGTTCAAATGTACCCCCCGAGAGTTACCCAGAATTGAGAATATTCCAACTGTGTCATTTACTGAATGGAACAGTTATACCACTTTCCATTGCTCAGCAAGCGACTGTTGGGCAAAGTTATCCTGGTTCCTTCTTTTTGTCGAATATTTTGGTGGTCCACGAAAGCGAGCCCGTGATGTAAGGTAATAGTACTTGCCTGGCCGTGCCATGATGGGGGTGTGCCTTGTCCGACAGATAGTCCCCCAAGTCTGTCGTCTGTGGAATTATAAGAGGAAATTCATTGCTGCAAACTGCCTACAGACAATGAGACAGATCCAGGAACTTTCCCATGAACGCCATTCTTGCATGGTAAACACCGAAAATGGATTACCAAACGCCATATTGTTGCTTTGAAGGCCACGATGTGCGAAGGTGGCGTAGTTCCACGGGCATAACAATGGAAGAGTTTCAGACATCTGGCGGGGAATTGCAGGGATTTCTGTAGCAAATTGGTCTCTGTCTTGGTCTCCGTCTTGAGAATATCAGGCTCCTACAATTACTCGGCCCGAGGTTGGCGAATGGAATGCTTCCGAGTTTAAATAAAACACCATTTTCCGGCTGACACGAAATCGCCCTTCTCAAACCAATCATCCCCTTTGTGTCGCACCTGAGAAACTATATGATAATTTGCGAAAGCTCAGCTAATGGTGTTAGATTCAGGTTTAAATGTTATCTGGGTCATCTTTCACATAGAATACGATTACCTAACATCGTGTGGAGTTGCAAGCTATTCTAGATAAAAAAACGTGTGGAACATTGATTGATATTGGAGGAAAACTTGGAAAATATGGTTTAATAAAGTCCATTACAAATAGTCATGTCCAACATCATGTAGTGTCACGAAGATATGGATAGAAAACTTTTATTCACATTAGCATTCCCATTAATTCATATCATGCTAAAACCATGATTTTTAACAATAATTATGTGCTTGAGATCGTGGGCAGAACTTTCTTGCACCTTACAAAGACGCTTAAAGCAAGCTTTAGGTTATAAGAACATACAGAGGACTCCATCACTTGAGAGCAGGAACGGTCGTATCAATCCCTATCAATCCGTATTAATAAGACACAAGAGCCGACACGAGACGATTGTGGAGTTCAAGCTTCTCAAAAATCCTCGATTTGCTGATCACAAGCACTGACGTGCAGGAAAGTCGATTCTAAGCTTTACTTTCAGATCGCACAGATCCATGCGCTAGGAAACTGATGCAGGAGTTGCGTCTGGATTGAAGGGGGGGGGGACTTAAGCTGCAGATAGTAGACGGTAAAGTACTCCTAGAGAGAGTGCCACTGCTAGCAGCTGAAGCGACAAGACTCTCACGAACTGGAGCATAAGATGGTCGAAAGACAACCCTCTAGGCTAGCTTGCCTGTGATTAGTCACTTCAGCATGGTGGATGAAAGTTTCAGATCAGAGAAAGCTCAGAATCAAGAGAGTACAACGAATAGTAGACCTGTCCACTGTTTATTAAGGTGGGGCTGAACCAGAATGACTTGATCGAGTTGCTGAGTCCTCTTATTTTCGATCCATGAGGGCCCCTTTGTTCAGGAGACAAACCTGCTCCTGAGGTCAGCGAACCAACGCTAGATGCTGAGGTGCCAGGTGGCATGCAGAAGTGGGCCCCATGAATGTTCACAATCCGCCTCAAATCCATTCCGTTTACGACGCTATTCAGAGAAGATAGGTTGTGAGCTTGGAAGGACTTCCCATTCACTACTGTATTTTACGCCAACCTTCTCAGTTGGTAACATACTAGAAACGCATTGCCTACAAGCAATATTCCGTGTCGTGATTCCTATGATCGAAACAAGATTTACAGAATTAGGCAGAGACGGCACATTTGTGATTCCAGTGAAAGTCTGTAATTGCAGTCTAGAGGATACCACCGTGTAGGCATGGCCCCGCGCTAGTCTAGGAGCCCTCGTTAAAACCGTGCATTCTACCAGAAAGAAGAATATCAGCTTGATTGGATGCCTACTGCGTATCATTCTAAACAGAAGGGTCACTGCATGTATGTGAGGGTCGATTGTGCAAACAACATCTTCTCACAGTTGATCAGAGTTGCCACTGAGCATCCGTGGAGAAATCCCTTCAGCTCGTGAGGCATATTCTTGCCTTTTCCAATTGCTCTGACGTGGGTCATGCCCAAAGGACTGGCGCTAAGATTTCAAGTTTGCAACCTGTTGTTAAACAGATGAGAGGTCTTTAATTCGGGAACTGCACGAAATAAAAGCGCACCAGAAGCAGATATGTCTAGAATCGATGTCAGAATATTTGAGATGGCACGGTCCCAGAGGGCAAAAAGCTTAATCTGCTGCAGCTGGAGTGCACTCCCAATCTACTGTGAAGCTGCAGTCTCATTCTAATAGCCTCAGTGCAGCGTGACAATAGCCAACACTGGGCCCCCAAGCACTGGATCCCAACCAATACTCTCTATTTCTGGCATCCTCAGACCAAAAGCACCGGCTTCTTCAATGGCTGACATAGTTAAGGCACCTGACATTGCTGAGTTTGTGGCAATTAGAAAGGTGCAGTTATAAGTAGTTTGTAATTGTTGGCTACAAGTTAATTGTATAGCCGTCTTGTGTAGTTCTTAAAATTGAACTATATATATGTGTGTATATTTCTTTGTTAGAAACTTCACTAATTACAAATTATAAACATAAACAATTACTACTAATTGTCAAAATTACTAATTACATATTATAAACATAAACAACATTGCTGATTATTTTTCTTTATTGCATGATTGCTCACAAACTTCAATTGCTATTGTAACATCTTATTATGATAAATAAATAAAGGTGGGTTTCTTTATTGTGCCTTTGTTTATTGAACTCTGTTAGCCAAATAAATATATGTACATTTTTTATTTTTTATTTATTTGTTTTATTTATTTCATTCTTAATGGTTTCTTTTGGCATGAAATAGTATTATGAAATCATAATGTTAAAATCTTGGCTGCAATGGAGAAGGGTGAAGGAGCTTTGGCACTTGCAACTACAAAAATTAAAAATCTCAAAAGTTTTTTTCGTTACAATTTTATTATTATTACTATTATTATTATTATTATTATTATTATTATTATTTTAACTTAGAATTACTAATCAATCTTTAAAAAAAATTAATATTTAATCTTTAATATTTAAAGATTAATTTGACACATTAGGTCTCAATGAGCTTTTAGTGGCAAAAGAGTAGATTTATTAATAACAACTTGATTAGCAAACATATGATAACAAGTATCTTCAATACTTAGGTTATAACAATATGATGTTATATGCGGCGGTCATATATGGCATTACAACACTAATACAAGAAGACACATTGATAGTAGAAAGAAGGACACAACATAAGGACATTGAAATGTGGACTAAGACAATAGTAGTACAAAATTAATAATATAAAAATATCATTTTAAAAATTGATAAATAAAATTTAAGGCAAGAAATAAAATATATAAAATAATTTATTATGATAGCTTATTTTATAGTAGTTATACTAAAAAAACGATTTTTTAAAGCAATAGTTCTTATATTTATAATGTTAAGTGGATAATAAAATTACTAGATGAATTTGAAGTTGTTAATACTTTAATAACTAAAAAATTAGAATTTTTATTTGAAAAACATAAAAATAATTAAATTGATAATTATCTATATTTTTGTGAAGCCTTAGACTTTAAAAGAGAATGAAAGCTTTCTTTTAGATTAATCAATTCTACAAAAAAAAGACAAAAAATAATGTTATAGACTATAATCATTTATTTATTAAATGCGAGTATTGCTTAGAGATAAGACATAGTATTAAAGATTTTTATTTTTTAGTATAAAAAAAAATAGAAACTAAACTTAAATAATATATAGATCCAATTTAAAGGTTTTAATTACAAAGATATGAAAACAAGAAAGAAATAAAATAAACTATTTTACTAAGAGATAACATTAAGGTTGCAATTTCAAATGTTTCTAGCTAAATTTCAAAATAGACTTTAGTTTCAATAGAAAGCACATACAACAAAAAAAAAT